ATGTTCACTTTGGAAATAATTAGTGGTGTTAATAGTGAACTTTTAGCGATACGATAATTATCACACTGCATGTGTCACGATAAGATTTATTACAATATATACTGCTAACACAGATTATATATTGGGAATTTATATTAATAGGGCTCTAGAAAACCTCACAGGATTATGCTGCTCTGTTAGAGCTGGTGCAGAGCAGCAAAACAATGGGCTTGTGTGGTGGTGTGCTGCCACCTAGTGGCCAGAGGTTTAATAGTTATCTAAAAGCAATGGATGTTTACTTATAAATATTTTTCTTGTTCCAGATTAATTCAGCTGTATTTTAAATCAGTACCAATAAAGTCAAATGAAATATTGCAATATTGGTATTTCTGAGGGATTGGCACAGAGTCAAGGTATAAATGCAAGTCGCTGACATGACATGTGTTGTGAATTCGCACTATATAAATAAACTGAATTGAATTGAATAAAGGATTCTGGAAAAAAACTGATAAGGCCAGTTTCATGGTTCAGTGTGTTCATGCAAGCTGCAGTTTTCTTTTAATGATGAGGCTGTAGCTCCAGCTTCCTCTCTATGTGCTCTTAGCCATCATGCTGCTGTTTACCTCTCATAAGCTGCCTGCGGTTTGGGTGTGGTTCTGTGGGATGGTCAGAGCGCCACCAAAGGACAATATATTATACAGCGTTTCTACACTTGTGTGGATGTAGCTGTTTTCTAAGCTTTTTGGGGGAGAAAAAAAAAATGTGTTTGACTGGACCTGATTCTCGATGACATCTGAAGTCTCGCTACCGCCATACCACATGACCGCTTCAGGAAGTGGTTAGGTTTGCCCACGAACTATGACAGATATTTCAACAGCCTCAGTATTTATTGAAGATTAGGCAGTTAGTAGGAGAGTAACGGTCAGTTGGAGAGAGTTTGGAAATATTTTTATAGATTGATTAGAAAAATAACCAATCTAATATTAAATAAATATTTGAACTGTATTGATCTCACGTTGGGGGAATTTACCTCTGCATTCAACCTATTCCCTTTGGGAGCAGTGGGCTGCAGTTGTGCGGCACCCGGGGAGCAGTGTGGGGTTAAGGGTCAAAATAAAAATGAATGGCTGACTGTGTCATTGTATCATAAAGACAGACACCATATAAAAGTTTATACTTTATGCATAAGCATCACAAACATCATTGATGAATTCATTCAGTGCTCCAGACACCAGAGCCATAGTGTCATAATCAAACTGCACGTTTTACATTTATTGTCCACTTGATGGCACAATAGAGCAAATAAAGCTTCTTGAGGCTTTGAAACATGAACAAAGCAATTGGATAGAAGGCTTCAGTGCTTTCTGAAGCTTCATCTCCAGTCAGAACCAATCAGTCACCTACAGCTGTGACGCAAGTTTTTTTTTTCAATCAAAAAGGACTGAACGAGATGTAGGAATGATACGAAATTCATTTTGATTCTTTGATCGAAACAGCGTGGTGAAATCTGCTTATAGTTAAGCAGTAACATAGCTTAAACAGAGGACAGATTAAGATAATCTGGCTGGGGAACCTAAAAAGCAAGGCTCAGAAGATTTTGCCTAAAGTCCATGCTAAAAAAAATAAATGAAAAAAAATCTCATCAGAGATGCTTAACACTTTTTAAATAATAAAAATCTTAACAAATATGAAACAATTTTTGAGACTAACAATGATAATAGTGGAGGTAGAGTTTTTTCACAAAAAAGATCAACCAATGAATGTCAATTTCAAAGGAAAATAAGAAGCTAAAATGAAATAAAAAAAAATAAAAAAAATTAAATGCTTACAATTTATTGGATGCCCTCCCGCTTTTTTTTTTTTTAGATTTTACAAACTTACATTTTCAGAACAGTGAGAAGAAACTTACTGAACTTTCCCTTTATTTTATTTTTTACATTTAACTCAATCTTAGTGCTAACCATCTGCTGCAATAATAAGTATTTTAGTAAAACATGCCTGCATTTCACACGATGAATATCAAGGTAGAACAAGCACTCCTCCTGCAAGGAGAAATCAAAGTGCTACTGCATGGGGAATTTCCCACTTTGATATGAGCTAAACGCCTCAGAACAGCATAACTATTGTTACTTAATCAGACTAGTTCGATATTACACAAAAATGAGAACCCTAAACATATTTCATAGGCAAAACCATAACTTTTTTATCGGCCATAGCAGAACATGTCACCTCGTCAGAGATCCTCATCGCTTTGAGAATGACCCACAATACCTTGCTCTTGATAGAAGTTAATGCAGTATAATTTTGAATAAGCAGAATTTACCTCAAACCATTTTAACTATGTTAAATTCTAATTAGGGCTGTTGTGGGAAAAAAAAAAACTATTCAACTATTCACTCAAGTTAAATAAATGGAGCTTTATGGATTTCACTCAGTCTGCATTTTTTTACATCTTTGCAAATAGAGAACAAGACATCATACAGCCCTTATTGCACGGTAATCAGCCCTGTTCTGATCTAGCTAGAGTTTGTCTTCCTTACTTACAATGATGGAAATGCTGAAGGTTGTGTCCGTGTCAAAACGCATCTCTACAAAAAACAAATAGAAGAAGAAAGACTCTAAATGTTTTGAGAACTTTCTAATATTATGGCCAAAACTCAAAATAGGATAAAAAGCCCCTCTCTCTTAGACTTGTTGTGGCCTTGGAGCTCTGAGGCCGAATGAATAAAACTCAGCACTCATAAATCTGTATACATATACCTACATGAATATATGTAAAAGGGAATTAATAGGAGATACATTTTTTTTCCAACCACAAGGCAAAGGTAAAATATACTCTCTTTTTTTATTTTTATATAATTGTGCTTCTGGCACTACAGGATTCAGNCATCCAGCCAGTTGGTCAATTCACACTTATTACCTGCATCCTCCCAGATAATCATTACTGGGTCTTCTGTTTTAGGCCCGCCTTATGATGTTGTAAACTGTTAATAAAAGGCTTTGCCATGAAGGGATCTGTGTGAGAAGGTGCTGGTTTCAGAGCCAACACCTTCTCTCCGCTTCTGCAGACGCTGACGTCATTACAAAACCCTGTCTCTGTGTTGATTATTTCCTCTTAATTTTTTTAACTCACATTTCTCTGGATTAAAACCCAACACATGAGATAGTTGAGAAAAACATCAGTTGGACCGTAGTGGGTGTTATTTTACTGCACAGTCCCATACACATCTGTACATCTGGTCATTATTTCTTTCTCACTGTAAATATTGTATTTAAAAGCCTCACTGATAAGGAATGCTTGCAAACCCAGGATCAGAATATCTATATAGTTTATAACGAGATTCTTTAAAAAGTCTACCGCTAAAACAAAGCCTCATCAAACAATCCTTGACTATCTTTTTAGTGTTTTACTCTATTAGAAAAAGGTGTGCTGTAGAGGGATTGTGTTTTAGAACTTTGTGCACACCATATGCATATGCTGTGGCCACAAGTAAGATAATCATGAGAACAAGTTTGCACATGAATTAGTTTGCAAAAGAAGTGCTTGTTGGCCACACAGTAATACCTTAAAGGTCTGTTTGTCACGGTTGTGTTGGAGGTTTGTGTCAGGACCCAAATGCAGGGGCAGTGAGGCTGAGGAGAGTTCTTGCAGATTTATTGGGATAACACAGGTAGCAAAAACAGGAATCCAAAAATCCATCCAAAAAAATGTTAAACAAAACAGGCATCCAAAAATCCAACATAAAAATTAAACACAAACCAGAACCATGGAGACATCAGGGAAAACAATCACAAGGAGCCAGGGTAAGACGAAGTAAGCTGGACTGCACAGGGAGTGCATTTATGGCTGATTGAACAAAGGCAGGACTAACGAGCTGATAAGGAGCAGGTGTGAGAAGCTGACGAGGAAGCCAAGGCAAAAAGGAAACACAAGAGGGCAACAGAGGACAAGCAAAGAAAAACCTAAGAAACTTACGTTTCTTAGGTTTTTCTTACCATAATAGACCAATAAAGCTGAAAAAAAAAAAAAACAGAAAACCATGGATAAATGTCAAACTAAAAACTTAGAGAAAACCAACAGAACAAAGATCGTTACAGACGGCCTCACTTCAGGGCAGGTTCCAGATTCCCCTTAAATGTCCAAAAACAAAAAACAACCCACCCAGGGTGGGCGGAGGGAGAACCAGGAAAGAGGGTAATAAACAAAAAAAAAACAACAAAAAAACAGAGTCCAAAATACAAAACAACCAACCAAAGGTGGGCGACCGAAAGTCTCTGGAGGGCGGCTGTGTGGCCGGAGGCGAGGCAGAGTCTCTGGAGGGGGGCCCGGAGGTGGGGCAGAGTCTCTGGACGGCGGCCGTGTGAACAGCAGCAGCAGCCTTGGGAGACACCGTCTCTGCTGCAGGAGGCGTGGAGGATGTCGTCTCTGCTGCAGGAGCCTTGGAGGACGCCGTCTCTGCTGCTGCAGCCTTAAAGGATGCCAACTGCGGCTCTGGAACCCTGGAGGGGGCCGCCGAATGCGGCTCAGGAACCTCAAAGGTGGCTGCCGACTGCAGCTCAGGAACCTTGGAGGGGGCCGCCGACTGCTGGTCAGGAACCTCGAAGGATGCTTTGAGTGCCTGCTGAGGGGCCTTGGAGGCTTGGAGCGCCTTGGTAAACACAAGGGGGCAGCAGAGGACAAGCAAAGAAAAACCTAAGAAACTAAAATAAATCCAGAACACACCAATAAAGTTAGAAAAAAAAAAAAAAAAAATGGATAAACGTGAAACTGAAAACNAGGGGCCTTGGAGGCTTGGAGCGCCTTGGTAAACACAAGGGGGCAGCAGAGGACAAGCAAAGAAAAACCTAAGAAACTAAAATAAATCCAGAACAGACAAATTAAAAAAAAAAAAAAAAAAAAAATGGATAAACGTGAAACTGAAAACTTAGAGACAACCAACAGAACCAAGATCGTTACACTGAGTGGGGGTTTCTATGGGTTAAATGTGAGTTTAATGCTTCATGACACCAACTTATGGTTGCTGGTCAAGAGGGAAAGAATAACTGAAAGAGTTAATTTTCCCAAACTTTACTGTATATAAATAAAATGTAAATGGGACTATCTAAAATTTAACAGGAATCCAAACGTGCAGCGAGTGACAAGAAACAAACAAAATAATTGGAAAGTTGTTAATCCACCCTCACAAGTCCTTAAATAATTCAACCTGAGCAGACTAACAAAATAAATAATCAAAGAAAAAAAAAAAAACTCTAAAGGACAGTAGGAAGCAATAAAAACCCTGTCAAAACAAAATTACAAAATTACTCAATGCTCATGAAAACACTTTAATCAAATCAGTCCAACCACCTTATAAAACTGCTAACCTGCGTCACTTAAAACAGTAAATGTAAAAGCCTATCTGCAGAGTCAAACAACCACATGACCAGGTAATGCTACCACTGGAACACCAATAATGCGACTCTGTATAAAAAACACCAAATCAGCATGAACTTAATGAAGAGAATAAATCCAAAAATAATCTTCCTCCCAACATACCCCAGCCAGCCAGCAGCATGGACCCACCACACCCCTGGTCCCAGACACAAGCAATAATAAAAACGGAATCTTTTGAAGCACAGGGAAAATTTTATTGAATAAATGCAATTTAAACAGGAATTTGCTGCAAATGATTTTAAACTGAGACCACCTTCGTATTTTAGACAATAGGACAAATCTGGAGAGGCTAAAAAAATGCAATCATTGAGAGAACATGCATGAAAACATGGAGATTCTAACCCATGTTCTATTTGCTAAAAACTAATAGAGCAAGCAACTGCTTCACCAAGAAGCCTTAGTTCCAGATCCAGATGTCAAAGCTGCCATTTTGGATGCATTGACATGAAATAGAGAAAAGTGAGAAAATCTCTTGGAATAAAGATTAGATATAAAAAAAAAATTAAAAAAAAAATAGAACAAGTTTTAAAGTTGTGGTCATTCTGAAGCTATGAGAAATGAAACATAACTGAATTTATTTTATTAATAATGCTTGTAAAAATTCTCTTTTTGTAATAACTCATGACAACCCTTACAAACATTTGCACCCTGTTATTAAAAAGTGTATTAAAAAATCTTATGTTCACTGAAAAAATGTAAAATAAAGAAAAATGTATTTACAGCATAATAGCTAATATTATTCATTACATGTTATAGTATTTGTTAAACAGAAACAGCAGGTATATTTTTCAGCTTTTAGAAAATAAATAGCAATTAACGTCCAATTTTACTTATTTTTTCCCTCATATTTGATATTGTTTACTCCTCAATGAGAACGACCAATCAGAGCCTACTCCCCACATAGATAAACACATCAAAAACAATTTAGTTCAATATTTTGTATGCAGAAACTGTTGTTGCAAAATGTTGCTGGAGGCTGTGGGGGTGTTACCTAGCCAGCATCAACTGTTTCTTTCAATTCAAATGTATGAGTATGTGGTGTTATGGGGCCCACCCAGATAATGTTCCGTACAGGCCTATTGTTGTGTCGTTACGTCATTGATGCCCTTCCAAATATATCTATGATTGATGTTTGTTTTTGAATGTAAAAAGGAAATCCAAATCAATAACTGAAAACAGTGAAATAAAGTATTTGATGGTTAATGATAAAAAAGCTGCTGGATAGAAGGAAAACTCTCAGATGACTGGACTTCATCCTGGTGCCGCTGATACTACTGTCATGGTAGGTTCTGAGGAGCCAAAGGATTTGAACCCAGATCAAAGATGTTTAGGTCTAGACAGGACCTGATTGAACAACAGAACCAAACAAAGGTTTTTAAAGGAAAAATGTAGAAACAGTTCCTGAATCAGTGTCAAACAGCAAAATCATCTCTTCTACAAACTATTGATCCTGATTACTTCCAGATTTAGTGAACTCACCCCTCTAGAAAAAATGTTCCAGGTTAGTCTGACCCTGCAGTCACATTAGTACCATCCTGTTGTTCTTGACCTGAAATTATAATTTTGTCATTGAGTTCATTGTTTATCACAGTTACTGTATAATTCCATGCTTCCAGCAGCTATTTGATAATTAATATTTATACTGAACCATTTCCAGAGTTTCCAGACCCTCTGATTGTTTCATGAACCCCAAGATCTCCTACAGGAAAGTGGAAATCACACAGTTAAACTAATCTGCCTTAATGTCAGTGATACTGATGTAAACAGAACATTAGAACCACCTCTTTACATCTATTTCACATGTTACCTCAATCCTGCTATTATTGTTTGAATTATTAGACACCTCAGTCAGAACAAGAGACAGAAAATCTCTAAAGCAATAAAATCTCAGTCTTGCTGATTTAGGGAAGTTGTTGAGTTATATTCAAATCTAATTACATATATCTGTAATTAGATTAATGGTTATTACTGCTTACTAACATTTATTCTGGATGATTTACCAGTGAGACAGAACTAATATGATCAAATCTAAACAAATAGCAGCTTCAAGAATATTTAATTATAGAGTTTGAATGGGTTAAAAGTTGAAAATGACCTATCTGTGTTTGTTTGTGGCTAAATTAAGCTAAATTAGACTAGGCTGAAATAAATTCACAGCAACATTTTGCATTCCTATTGATATTTAGTTTTGTATAAATGTAGTCTTCAATAAGATAAATTAAATCATTTGATCATAGAAATTTGAATGAATGTATTAAAACTTTATTTTTTGTTTTAATTTCACAAGTAAACACAAAGGTTATTAGTGGTGTGAAAGAATCAGATTGTTTGTATAAAAGTATCATAGGAATATAATCTATATTCCATATTTGTAGAACAAATCAGAGAAAAGTGACAGACTGACCATGGAGGAGAGAGGAGTACACTTGCTGCTGATGGTCATCCTGGATGACAGTCTGTGCTGTTCTGATACCTTTTACAGAAAAAAAATATATATTTTCAGTATATTCAATTTTCTTCTGATTAAATAAAAGAAAACCTTCAATAAATTAGCATTTGTGTTGAAATTGTCTGTTTCACCAAAAACAAATAAGAATCAGCATCAATGTTTGTCAGAAGGAGCCAAGAAATATTATTTAACAAATAGTCTTTCTTTATATTTGTGCAAAAATAAATTGTGCAGAAGACAATTTATTGGACTTGAAGACAGCAGAGGGAGAGGTTAAGCGCAAAGGTAGGAAAATAATTTCTAGTTGGCTTTTTCTATAAGTAATAGCTGTCTGTACGTGTGTACTAGGGCATGGAGGATGGAGAAGGAGAAGGATAGGCTACTGTAGATGTCTTAGAGATGAAAAAACATTCGAAGTGGTTGGATGATAGAAAGAAACGTTATGATAGCGCGTCTAAAAATAAAAAATAGTGAATTAACATATTACTGATTTCTCAGAATGTGTACTGAAAAGAAAAGAAAATCAAAACATATATTTTTTTTTTTTTTCTGCTGTTCAGACATTAATAATTTCATTAACTAGATATTGAATTATAAATTATATAAATTATAGAATTTGGATGCAATAAATTGGATCTAAATGTCTTCACTCAGGTATAACCTTTCAGTGTTGTGATGTATCTGATAACTTAGACCAAATGCAGCATTCAGTCAATAACTGATATCCAACAATTAAAATTAAAACTTTAATCTTAATTATATGTGGTTTGACTGCTGTATTAAAGAAGAGAAATAATCTCCATAGAGATGTGAAGGCAACAGGTTGGTCTGATTTTTGGTGGAAGTGAAGGAACAGCCACTTTATACCAATTGATTTATTTTTAAATATGTTTTATATTGAAAACTTGCATTAGAAAAAAATATAATTTATCTAAAGCTGTTAACTGAAGGAGGCAGACATGAGATGGGTGATGGTATCCGCTATAGAGGAGAGCAGTGAGGACATCAGGAAGGAAGAATGAAACTAGTGAGGCCACAGAAAGATTTAGTTCCTCCTCAGTGTTCTGAGGAAGAAAAGACACTGCTGGGCCTTTTTAATAACCTGGGGGGTGTTCACAGTCCAGCTCAGGGCCTCTGAGATGTTCAATGAGATCTATAGGTGGCAATAATGGCCCTAAATGTTGTTTTCCAGTTTGAAGAAGATACTCAGCTTGATTACTGCAGCACTTCAAGTCTAGAATCAACTGAATGTAAAACATGTTGCTGCAAACATGGAGACCAAAGCTAACTGTAGCTACAACAGACCTGCTTCAGGTTCAGAGCCACAGTTAGTAACTCTACATCTAAGCTCACTGCTTTCTTTCACCTAAATAATTATTTGTAGAGTTAGTTACAAAACTGAACTCTAATTGAATTGAAAGAATAATACTTTAAATAAATGTAATCAAAGTGTTATTAACTGTAATAAGGTACAGTAGTAGCCATTCAAAATTTCCCCACTTTCCTTGATGGGCCCTTGACTGGTCCTTGGTTAGGAACCCTACAATTCCTTTCTAAAGATCTCAAATATTGTTTCTTTCATTATTTGTGGACATTTAGATTTAAAGAGAAGCATTACTCCTGGTCAGACCTAGTACTTCAGTGAAAGGGAGGAGTCAGAGTAAAAAAGATATGCACGTCCAGGATAAGGCTATTGGCTGGACGTTGTAGGGGATTTTGCTACCTTTGGCTGCTTTTGACTGGAAAGGGCCATTTTGAAAGGCGGCTACTGTAAATATAAATGTTCTAAAGATTCAGATTATCATTATTCAGTCACTTCCATCTACTAAGTTTAGGTGTTGCTGTTTCAGTTTAGTCCACATGGGGGAGTGCTCTGTTTGGAGAATGCAAGAGTAAAATATTAGATATTAGAATATTAGAGTCTGACCTTTGGAGCGTCTGAACCGACACACCAGCAGAGGCAGAACTATCAGAACGATTCCAATCACTGGTCTAATGACCCACATCACATGAAATGAAGAACTTCCAGCTGCTGAAAATAAGGAGAAAATAACTCCAAACAATATCAATATTATTCTGAATCCAATCATTGA